GTAGAGCTTCAGCAGGCGGTAGATACACGATTCCAGCAGCATGGCATCATTGATGGCATCCAGACCTATGCCTGGCTTCTGATACCAGCAGGGCTGCCCGCGTCGGGTAAGGGATGAATCCATGATGTCGTCTAATACAACGAAGAAGGCTTGAAGCAGTTCCACACAGCAGCCCACTGTCAGGGCCCGCTGCAGACTCTCAGCATCCTGCTTCCTGGGCTCCACCAGATCCTGGAACACTGCCAGCACTGTTAAACCTCGGTTGTACTTGCCTCCAATGGCATTGTACTCTAGGACCTTCCTGAGCCGGGTAAAAGCATCTCCTCAGTCAGCACCTTGACAATCTGGGAGAAGTGCTGGATGAAATCCTGCTTCTCTTGGACGTAAGCCTCTTATTTCTGGTCTCCGTTCATTCTGAGGGAGGAGCAGAATGCTCTGTTCTTGGATGCCAGTTCTTGCTTGGTCCCTTGGAGATTTTTATAAATCTTAACATTACGACTGGCAGAAAGCAACCAGGGCTGATTCTCCTTAAGCTAGTTGTCCATAGCAAGCTGTGTTTGAAAGGTAAATCTTCTCTAGAAGCTATCTACAATTATAAATTGTACATTACTAAAATGAAAATAGAACACATTTGAAAATAGTAGAAAATAGGACACATTTGAAAAATATTTTCTGGATTTCTGAGGTCAGTGTTATATATTATATTATATTATATTATATTATATTATATTATATTATATTATATTATGTTGTGCCATTGAGTTGGAACCAACATATAGCTGGCCCTCTAGCAAGTTTTCAGAGACCGAGGAGGAGATTGCCCATAGGACTTTTTTAATTATATACAAAGTTTTCTTTCACTAAAACAGGAGACTTAATTTGTCCTAGAGTCTAAAAAGTCTAATTGGATGGTGTTGAGAGCTCTGGTGCCATGGAATCCATAGCACAAAAATTGTGCTGCCAACCAAAGAAAGAGTGTCTCCAGTGGTTCAAGTCCATCAGTGCCTGCAGAAGATGGATTGTCTCCTCTCATTGTGATTTACAGCCTCAGACATCAGATGATATGTTGCTATGAATTAGAACTGACTCCATGGCAGTGTGAATTATCTAGCTCCATTATAGTAGAGATACCACAAGTGGATGGCTTTAGCAAACAAAAAAATTTTCTCTTACAGTCTACCAAGCTGAGACTGGGTGAAGCGGTTGGACTCTGAAGGGTGGGCTCTCTTGTTTTGGTTGAGCGTCAATGTGGAATATTTCTTTGTTTTTTATTTAAGGCTCTTGTTTAAAGTCAACATCACCTCGTGGAGAGCCTTTGTATTTAAAAGTCAGTTGGGCCCTTGGGCCTGTGGCTCTTGGGCTTAGTGTTATTATATTTTGGAGGAACATTCTTCTAATGGTACAGCACTGATCTGTCAGTTTGCTCTACTGAGGTAATCTAAGATTGCCGTGATACTGAACTTTGTGTCATTGGTGTGTCAAATGCAACAATAATTACTCATGGTGGACAGTGTTTGGCGGAGCTCCCAGATTAAGACAGGTTTGAAGCGGGAATGGCATCCACTTCCTAAACAACATGCCTCTAGAAACTCTATGAACTTAGAGAAACAAAAATACTTATACAAAGAGTTCAGGTCTTTTGTCCATAGGGTGGCTATGAGTTGTGCACAACTCTATAGCAATCAACAACAACAGCAACAGTCTACCAAGTTAGAAGTCCAAATTCAGGGTGCCAACTGTAGGGAAAGGGACATGATGTCTGTCTCTCTCTCAGTCCATTACAGAAGGAGGTCCTTGTTTCATTCACCATCTGTAGGCCCAACATTCCTTGACGATCACCATATGTCTTCTCTGAGGTCAAAGGTCAAAGAGCTTCCTTGAGTAGACATCTGAGTCTAAAAAAGCTACACTGCATTTCAAGCAATTCTTTCTTGGTGCTACTGAGTTTACCCCCTTTTTTCTAGCTTTGTTCCATTTTTTATCTCTTATGAGATAAAAAGTGTTACAGTCCCTGGGGACACTTCCCTCACATTGGATCTGGGATGTTGGTATTCTACCCTTTATCTTCTCACAAATACTTAGAGTATCAGATGATGGGGTATCATGACATAGTTTCCATATTATATAATTATATCCTTGTATTTTGAGGGGGCATAATCAAAACCAAAAGAACAAAAGTTTGACCTTGAGTCTGTCCCACCTGAATTTAAAAAGCATCTCAGGAACAGGTTGAGGTCTTGAACACTAATGAGTGCAGACCAGATGAGTTGTGGGAGGATACCAAGAATATCATCCAGGAAGAATGCTGGGGTCATTACAAACACAGAAGAGGAAGAAAAGACCATGAGGGATGTCTGAAGAGACGCTGAATATTATACTTCAGCACCAAGAAGCCAAAGCAAAGGGAAGAAATCAAGAAGTTAATGAGCTGAACAGATTTCAAAGGGCAGCGTGCGAAGACAAAGCAAAGTATTATAATGAAATGTTCAAAGCGCTGGAGTCAGGGAATCAAAAGGGCCAAACCTGCTTGGCATTTCTCAAGCTGAAGGAACTGAAGAATAAATTAAATTTCTCGTTGCAATGTTTAAGGATGTTGTGGGTAGAATATTGACTGACCCAGGAAGCATCAAAAGAAGATGGAAGGAGTTCACAGAGTCACTGTACTAAAAAGAATTGACTTACACAGAATTATTTCATGAAATAGCATATGATCAAGAGGCAATGGTGATGAAGGAGGAAGTTCAGCCTGCTCTCAAGGAATTGGCAAAAATCAAGACTCCAGGCAGGAATGGATAGGATATCACTTGAGACAATGCAACAACCAGATGCAGCCCTGAACACGCCCCCCAGGTTATTCCAAGAAATCTGGAGGACCTGATCAACTAACTGGAAGAGATCCATATTTATTCCCATTCAAAAAAAAAAAGGTGACCTGACAGGGTGTAGAAATTATAGAACATTATCACTAATATCACACACAAGCAAGATCCTGCTGAAGATTATCCAAAAATGACTAGAACAGTACATTGACAGAGAACTGCCAGATGTGCAAGCTGGGTTTAGAAGAGTCTGTGCCACTAAGGACATTATATCCAACATTAGATGGATCTTGGATAAAAGCAGAGAATACCAGAGGAATGTCTATCTGTGTTTCATTGACTATGTGGATCACAACAAATTGTGGCTAACCTTGAGAAGAATGGGAATCCCAGAATAGTTAATAGTTGTTATTGTTGTTGTTGTTGATTGCCTTCAAGTCGAGCATGACTCATAACAACTCTATGAACAAAAGGCTTGATGCTCCTCTACAACTATTGACATTTATCAACGTTCATAGAGTTTCCGGAGGTATGTTATTTAGAAAGTGGATGCTACTCCTGCTTCCAAACCTGTCATAGTATGTTATTATTTTTTTATGTCATTGAATTGCTTACAATGTATAGAGACATTGAGTTGCTTACAATGTACAGCAGCTCTGAACCCTTCCCTGTCCTGAGCCAGTCTCACTAACTGACACACCAACCCCCCATCACCCCAGTCACTGTATCAATCCATCTCATTCTGGGTCTCTCTCTCCTGCGCTGTCCTTCCACCATTCTGAGCATGATGTCTTTCTCCAAGGACTGATCTCTCCTGGCCATGTGCCCAAAGTATGTGAGACGGAGCTTCAAAATCCTAGCCTCCAAGGAGAGACTTGGTTTCACCCTCTCGAAGACAGACTGATTTGTTTTCTTGGCAGTCCATGGTATGTTCAAGACTCTTCTCCAGCAACGCAACTTGAAGGCATTTATTCGTCTTCTGTCATCCTTAGTCATTGTGCAACTCTCTGAAGCATAACAAGTAATTGAGAATAGTACTCATGTGAAACCTATACTTGGACCAGGAAGCAGTCACCAGAACAAAGCAAGGAAACACTACATGGTTCAAAATCAGGAAAGATGTATCTTATGGATGCATACTGTTTCCATAACTTTTCAATGTACATGTGGAACCGATCATTTGAGAGACTGGACTTAGGAGAAGGAATGTGGCATCAGGATTGGAGGAAGATTTATCAACAACCTGCACTAGCAGATGGCACAGCCTTGCTTGCTGAAACTGAGGAGAATTTGAAATGTTTACTGCAGAAGGTCAAGGACTGCAGTCTTCATTATAGACTGAAGCTGAAAATCAATAAAACAAAGACTCTCACTACTGAGCTCTTGGCAGCATCATGATAGATGGAGGAAAAGACTGATCTTATTAACAATTTCAGTTTGCTTGGTTCCACAATCAGTACTCTTGGCACCAGCAGTCAAGAAATAAAAAGACAAATTGGATTGGAAAAAAATCTCCTGTCAGGGATCTCTCTAGTGTGCTGAAAAGCAATGATATAAGCTTGGAGACTAACCTGATCCAAGCCATGGTCTTTGCAATTACTTGCTATGCATCAGAGGGCTGGACAGTCACTAAGGATGATAGAAGAATTGATGCCTTCGAGTTTTGGTGCTGGAGAAGAGTCTAGAACATATTATGGACTGCCAAGAGAACAAACAGGTCTTTCCTAGGGAAGGTGAACAAGGCTGCTCCTTGGAGGCAAGGTTGTTGTTTATTTGTTTGTTGTTGTGTTTTTTTAATTGAAAGTTTACAGAGACTTAGGGTTTCCATTCATTCATTGTTGGACTTTTCTCCCTGCCCATCTTCTCCCCCACAATTCATGCTTCTCCTTGAAAAGTAAGACTCTTTAATTCTTGTGCAATCCCTCCCCCAAAGTTCACTCCACTGTGTAGCCTTCATTCTGGACTCTTGTTATGACAATAATACCCAATCATATATCCCTTTTAAACAGTTCTCTCCCTCATCTGTTTCAATGCAGTATACATCATTCATCCCCTCCTCTGTCTTCCCTGAACCCTGATGTCAGTTCTGTTTCTTAATAGTGGCCCTATGCAGTATTTGTCCTTTTGTGACTGAGATACTTCACTCAGCATAATGTTGGAGGCAAGGTTTGTGAAGCTCTGTCTGACATACTTTGGGCTTGGAGCAACCTTGGAGAAGGACATCATGCTTGGAAGGGTGGAGGAGGCAGAACCTGGATGAGACAGATTAACACAGTGACTAGGGTAATGTGGTTAGGTGTGTTGGAGACAGTGAGATTGGCTCTGGGCAGGGCAGGGTTCAGAGCTGTTGTACATAAGCAAGTAACTCGACGGTACATAGCAACAACAATTCAATAGATAGGGAGATTACAAGTTTCGGAAACGTTAGAGCAAGAAAGAGGGGCTTTGGGTTTGTCTCTTTTGTTTTTAACTCCATTGGCAT